TGGCCATATACCATCAGGAGGCTGTTGTCCTAATCTGTCCCTGAGTGTTAAAATCACCAAGTAAAAATTAATCCTTGTTCCCAGTGGTTTAAACAGATAAACCAGAGAGAAGTGGAACTCAAAACCATGGCCCTACACATCACAGGGAATGGACACCAGGCTCTAAGGACGTCATCTACAGCTTTTCCCCCCAGAATTTGCACTCTCTCCTATAAAAGTTTCCTTCCACTGAAGTCAGAGTGGCACAACACTTGTCTCAATCTATACCCAGCACTCACCTGTCTGCACACAAAGAACTCAGCCCTGCAGTAATCCATGGCTCCAGTACCCACTGATCCCCACCCCACACAGCTGGGCAGGGCTTTCCTCCCCCTCACTGTGTCAGCACCGTTTCCAGAGCTCTAAACGTTCATTCCACCCTTGTACAATGAAACCACACCAGAAAGAAGCAACTGAAAATCAAACTTGGCCCTTGCTGGGGCAGAGCAGCCTGGCCTTGTTTCTCTGTGAACCCCACTCGTGGTCTGAAGGACCTGAGCTCTGGGTAAGCCACAGTGTTGTTCCAATCCACCCCAAGGAATTCCCCCTGGCTGCAGCTCAGCCACTTGGGGCCAGCTCGGGGAGGTGTTAAGCACATTCCCACTTCTCTTTGAAATAGCACTGTTGTCTTTTTTTATTTTTGCATCATGAAAACTTATGGACTTGCTCGAAGCTGAAGAGCTGCTTTCCCCTCACAGACCATATTTTCTGATCCAGAGAATTCCTTCTGAGAGGTGCAAAGAGAGCAGAAACCCTGAGAGCACGGCGGGCTCCTGGAAGCGGGGCTGAGCTCACCAGAACCGACACACTGGGGGAGATCAAGGAGGAGATCCCTGTCCTCTGCCTATTCCCTGCCCTCCCCTCCCTCTGGCACACCCAGACCTCAGAGTGGCATCAGGGGCTCCCAGGATGAGGAGCAGATCCCCCCAGACAGCAAACTGCGGGCTGGACAGACAACTGGGTTGTGTTTCACATGGTTGGATCAGCTGTAAATTATCGACCCAGCCATTTTTCCAGGCAGCCAGTATTCTGTCAGGCCATGGGCTGCCAATTCCAGCCCTCCTAAACCTTGAAAGCAGCTGTCCCCAAAGCAAGCCACTTCGGGAAGAATAGGGAAACAAATTACATAAAAGCAGATTAACTTCTCTTTAACTTCCTTCAAAATATTTCTTCCCCACGGCCTCTGTAATCCCATTTTTTAAGGGAATTTGGTCTCTTTATTTGTTATTCTTATCAGTGTGACTCGAATTTAAAGCTTTATGCTGCGTGTTTCTGCCCAGGGACCTGTTGTGATGATAATCCCCAGGCTTTTCCACGGTGGGAATGGCTCTTTGAGCAGTTTTCAGCCCATTGCTCTGACACTTCCCAGGAGACAAAGACGGGCAGGGAACGCTTGGTGAGCTCAGCTGAAGCTCCTCGGTGAGGAGTGGGAATTTCTGGAGAGTCTTGGGGGTTTTGTTGCTTTTTCTTTTAACTTTGGACTGCTTGGACATGCAACACTTGCCCAGAGAAGCTGTGGCTGCCCCAGCCCTGGGAGTGTCCAAGGCCAGGCTGGAGCAACCTGGGCTGGTGGAAGGTGTCCCTGCCCAAAATCCCAAATCCCATCAGGAATGGCTCTGCAGGAGTCAGGAATCCACCTCATTTCCCTCCACCAGGCTCAACACCCCGGGAAAATGGCGTGAGATGTGGGAGGAGAAGAAAACTCACCCCTTGGGGAGAGCAAGAGATCAGAGAATTAAAGCTGAACGAGCTCCCTGTGCCCTCTGCAATTAAAGGCAACTTGAAAGAGTTTCCATTTGGTGATATCATTAATTTTCCCCCCCCCTTCCTCCTCGCTGCAGTTCAGAAGAGACATTCCTTCTCCACTGCTCAGTGATGAAAGACCGAGCTGGAGACACCCAAGAAAAGGAAAGTTTGCAAAGTTTTCAGCCCTTTCATCAGTTCTTTAAACAATGATCAGAAAAACACGAGAGACAGGCGGTGTTTGAGGGCAGCATTGCAATGAAAGCTGCGTGCAGGGGGCTCTGCTGTCCCAGAGAGCTCACAGCCCGACGGCCTGGGAAGATTTAGTGGCAGTTTTGCCACAAAGCGAGGCTGTCAAGGAACACATTTATGCTTACCCAGCTATTTCCTTTATTTGCTAAGGGAGAAAATGGCACTGGAACACCAGGCAGGTAGGAAATGTGGCATTTAGTTTAAAAATAAATGTGTTTCATGCGCAGGACATGCGATGGCAGGAGCCCAGGGAGCTGGTGGAGCGTGGATTGTCTGGTGTGTCAAGCACCTCCAAACTACACCTGAGTGCAGAGCACCCCACACCCACACATTTCCACACCCAACTATTTCTGCCCTGTGTTTCTTTACCTGTAATTCCTCACAGTCTTGTCCTGTAGCTGGGAGGTGACTGAGTCCTGATCCCTCCAGGATGGTCCTGCAGGTGATGGAGCAGCAGAGGGAGGGGTTTCCACTCCAACAGCCCAGCTGGGGTAAAATGCCCTTGTCTGGCTCTGCCCAGGCAACACAAACACAACCAACTGGAATCGCTGCCAAATCTTGTTTCTCGTAGAATCCCAGAATGGTTTGGGCTGGAAAGGACCTTAAAGAACACAGAGTCATGGAATGTTAGTGCTGCATCCAGTGCCACCCCTGCCATGGACAGGGACACCTTCCACCAGCCCAGGGTGCTCCAAGCCCCGTCCAACCTGGCCTTGGACACTTCCAGGGATCCAGGGGCAGCCACAGCTTCTCTGGGCACCCTGTGCCAGGGCCTGCCCACCTTCCCAGGGAAGGATTCCTTCCCAATATCCCATCTAAAGCTCCTGAAGTGCAAGAAATCCTCAGAAATATCCCAAGGCCATCACGTTTCTGGGCACAGTTTGCCCAGAAAGGATCAAAGGCTTCCAACAGCTCCATTTTCATTGGCACAGATGGATCAAAGGGGCTTTCAAAGCCTCTCCAGCCACGAGGCAGTGACAGGGCCCAGCCCCTGCTCAAAAATGGGGGGGCAAACCCGTGTGGTGCCAGCCTTGAGCAGTGTGACCTAAGCCTGCTGGTTGTGGTGGAGGGGGAGGCACAGCCACAACACTCCAGGGACACCCGTGGGGGACAGCCCTTCCAACAGCCCCAGCTTCCCACAGTTCACTCCCCAGCTGCCACGAGAAAGGGAGGACACCCAGTGGAAGTCCCTGGGGCTGCCTTTGGGACCCTCTGGAGATGGCTCCTCTAAGTGTGGATCCTGGTTGATTAAAGCTGTTCTTACCTCTTTCCACCTGCTGGGGTCTGTCAGTCCTTTGGCAGCTGCTGAAGGCACCTGATGTGTGGCCACTGTCCCCAAGCTTGATACGAGTCACAGACAGGGAGAGCAGAGGGGAGGAACAGCAAATAAAAGGGTGGTTGAGATCTGTGGGGTTTGAAGGGTTAACAGGAGAATCAAATTAGAAAGAAATCCTAATGATTTCAGCAGTCAAAAGCACTGACTCACCTTACGAGGCAGAGCCAATCTGATTCCATCACCACAGACATTTTCCATGTTTATTTTCTTGTCTCCTCAGACTCGCAGGAGAACGTGGGGGATCCCATTCCCGGCCATCTGGCATTAGTGTGAGAAATACAGTGAGAGATATTACACAGTTGTCTCAGTGACTCCCTTCTGGATGACAAATTCACACATTCTCCTGGTAGATTTGGTTGTGTTTTTTTTCCAGGCTTTTCCCACCCATGACTACAACCCCCAGGAGATTTGGCCATTTACAGCCCCAAGCTCAACCAGCTCTTGCTTCAGGTGCCTTTTGAGATCTGTGGTTCCAGTGGTTGATTGTCTGAGGGCTGCCTGGAGCACCTGCCCTTGGTGTAACCGCACTGACCATCAGCAACAAGCCAGAACTTGGCTCCTTGGCTGGCAGTTGTACATTTTTGCTCCAGTGGCTTTCCCAGCACTGTGAATTCAGCCCAAATGAGGTATAACTACGTAATTACCCCACTTTGTGCAGAGAGCAAGCCGTGCTTGTCCTCAAATCTCAGTGACATTCCAAGCTCAGCCGAGATCCCTGATCCCTGAGCTCAGGCACAGCACTCTCCTTGCCACCTGCTGTTTCTTCCACCACACTCTTGCATTTGCCTCAGAAAGACTGAAAGACAATGAAAATAAGCTCCCATCCAAATTTCCTTCTCCCCAGGCAAAGCTGCTCCGTGGATCTCCGAGCAGAGGCAGCTGTGGGAGCTCCCCACGCCCCAAGCTGTCTCCTAGCAATAAGGAAGATGTAAAAGCCCTCCAAAGAGCTCCTCCTTCCCTCCCTTCTCACTGACTCACGCTGTACAACACAGTTTTGGGGGTTTTGATAGATTCTTTCCTCACTTTCTCACAGCAAACCGGCTCAGGCTGCGTGTGTCAGGTGAAATGAGGCAGCACAGGCTGAATTCCAGCACGGAGGAACATCCCAGGTGTCCTCCCAACCTGAGTGCGTTTCCCATCCTGCTGACACAGCAGAAGGAGCTGGGAGTGCTGTGACTGGGGTGATTTGTAGTCAGGAGCATTTTGCACAACCCGAGCAGGGAAAGCCCAGACTCTCCCGCTCTGTCCCGCCAACATTCCAGAGACACAAAACAGAAGGGAAAGGGGTTTGAAGGTGTCCTGGGTTTGGAAATTGGGAATCCCCCATTCAGGGTGATGGAGTGATGCAGTGTGAAGGGGGTGTGAGGGAGGAGCTGTGGGCTCTGAGCTGGCAGGGGGTTCAGCAGCAGGACGAGAGGAGCAGGATTCCTGCTGTGCTGGTGGATTGGCACCATCTCCCAGCCCAGCTGCCACGGACTGTGGGACTGTCCAAGACAGAAACAATTCCCTGAAACACAAACACGGCTCAATGGCCAAATCCATCCCAGCCCAGGAGAAACACCTAGACATGTTCCTCAGCCCCCACAAGTTCCTTATCTTTTTCTTTCCCCAAATAATCCTCACCCTCCAACTCCGATTGAAAAATACCTAAAAATAGTTGCTGAGAACTCTAATGAATTATGCAATGGACATATGCTCTGCCATCAGATCTTGATTTTTACTGGAGCTGATAGAAGCCTGGCCTGTGCTGGGAAGGATCCCAGCTCTGCAGAAGAATTCTGGGTCACATCTCCCATCTCCGAGCGGGCGTGGGAGCACCTGGGAGAGCAGGTGGCTGGAAAACGCAGCTACCACTGGTGGGTTTAATTTCCCTGGATTAAGAAGCAAGTACCGTGCAAATAGTTTGATTTGCTAAAGATGCAGCAGCAACCCTGGCACAGCTTCCAGAGCTCCAAGGGTGAAGCGCCTTCTCCCAGAGCTCCTGGGAATGCTGCACATCTCCAGGCAGCTCATCCACCAGCCAGTTCCCAGATCTTGCCATTTTTATCGCTTATCTCGAAGAAATATCCTGCCAAAAAGAAAAAAAAAAAGAGACAATTTAAAATCCACCTTCCAACCCCCCGAAGCGTGAAGTGACTGTAAAAAAAAAAAAAACTCAGGCAGAACAAAAATGTGTAATTTATTCAAAGTTCTTCCTGACTGCATCTCCTTGCCATGGTGAACTGGCACATTTCAGACCTGCTGGCTCCAAACCAAGGCTCTCCCAGAGCATCTTCATCCAGCACTGCCTGATGCAGAGGATACACCGTGTTCCACAGAGCTGCAGCTCCCTCCTGCTGACCTGGCTGCCAGCCCCCACCTCGGCTCCTGCTCCTGCTCTCCCTCAGGAATGCAGCTGGAGCTCCTCAGGAAGTCCCAGCTGGCAGCACTGAGCCCTGGGAACTGTAAATCTGTAAACCTGAACCACCATCTCCCACCAGGAGCTCTCGAGGCTGAGCTTGGATGAGTCTTGGCCTGAGTGAATCAAGAGTGAAGTATCAGCCTGGAAAAGGAACTGCCAACCTTGACAGCTCCAACCTGAAAGGATTAATTAGCCGACAGCAAAAAACCCCAGTGTTTCAGAGATGGATACACGGGGGTAAATTTATTCCAAGTGTAACTCTTGCCTTCCACTGAAATCCATTAGAAATGGGTTTATCCGGAGGGGGGTGGGGGGAGGCACAGCACATCGCTGCAGTTTCATCCCTAACCCACACAGAGATGTGAAATCATCACCAGGGGTCTGGGATTTACAATTCATAAGTGAATTTCTTGTTTCTCTATAGAAGGGCACAGCAGGATTACCTGGAGAAAATTCCACATTCTCGTGTTGAATTCCAGTTTGGGGCAGCTTCGAGAGAAAATTAACCAGAGCAGCGAATGGATGATAATAAAACAACACTGATACTAAAATAAAAAGCGAATTACTCTGTTCCTTTCACACCTATCAAATTTAGAGGGAGAAAAAAAACCCCCTCCAGTACCACTGTGTGTATTATCAGGACAGTCAATGAGACATGAAACAAGGACAAACTCCATTTGCCTGGGCAAAGAGCCCAGTTTGGAAGTAATTGCTGTAGTGGTGGAGCAGCTGCAGATACAGCCAGATCAAATCCAAAGATCAAACGCTTATTTCATTTTGATAAAAGTCATTAAACCACAAATCAACTTACTCGGGAGTACAGGCAGGAAATAACTCTGTATATACCATCTGCACATAACTCTCCCCTAATAAATTAAAGCAGTGACAGCAGATCTCTTCTGTGAAATCCCCCAAACTTATATTTCATTAAGTATCAACATTTCTCATTTAGGTTTTATTTAGCAGATAAGCCCCTGCCCCATGTTTAAGAGCAGAGCAGGGGATTTCTGGGCTGAGTGGGTGCGCTGGGATTGTCTGCCTGGACAGCTCAGGAGCAGCTGAGAGCACGACAGACCCTCTGCTCTGGGGCTCAGGAAGGAACAGCATGGAGGGCAAAATCCAGGGAGCAGCAGGGAAGTGGGAGTTCTCCAAGGATGGTCAAACCATGAGCAAGAGCACGAGGAGAAGCTGTGGAATGTGGCAGCTGCATCAGAGCTATTTAATTATTGCAATGCACTGTCTGCAATGCCTTCACTTGGTGATGGAACTTGGAGAGCTCCTGGGCATGTCCTGGGATGCTCCAGCAGGAACAGCCTCTGGAGCTGCTGCCACCCCAGCCGACCCCTGCAGCATCCCTTGGGTTGGCAGGATTTGGGAGATGGATTTCCCAGCAGTGGCACCAGTGATTTGGAGATTACAGACAGTTAATTAATTACATCATTCCAATACAGCCTATGAGGCTCCTGTGGCTTCTCAAGGGGCTGGTGGAGGTTAAGCTTGAGATCCAACACCAAATTAAGAGCCTTCCTGTACTTAGTTAGGCTCGCCCAAACTCATGTGGGCTTGGGAAGAACTCAGGACTATTTCATTAGAGCCAAATCATAACCCTCACCCTTTTTGAATAGTTTTTTATTCTCCCTTTTAGCTCATCAGGATTTAAGTGCAGAGTTTTTGTACCCAGTTCTCTGCAGTTGGGCCAGAATGTGGCCCAGTTATCTGCACCTAAAGCCCAAATTTCAGCTTTCATGCTGTGATTATAACAATCAATCAATCTCCAGCTCTTTCTGCCTCTTTCCATAGGAGGTTGTGCTGGATGTCTGGACCTGCAAAGCTCCCACCACTGGTGCCCATCAAAACCTTGAGAGACCAAAGAGCTTCTTCACCTTAATAAATTAATCCATTTTTCTAGACCAGGAATCAATTTGCTTATTTACTCCTAATACATCTCCCACAAAAGGTAATTCACTGTTACCTGCACCCTTCAGAAAATCTGTGATTGGTGGATTTAGAGCTAAAAAGTTCGTTATTAAAGCCATGACTGACAAAAGGATATCAAGATAATGCAGAACTAATGGACAGATCATGAAATTTTCATAAAATTCTTTTTTTTCATGGTAATCATTTTTTATATTATAGAAGGACTCACCTACTGGTCCTCTGTTGAGCTCCCACCATTCCTGGGATGGGGTTGTGTCCACAGAGGATCCTTGTGGATTTAAGGTCAGGAACACTCATTTCTGGCAGCCCTTTGCTGTCCCACACACGCTCTTGGAGTGAATCTCCCTTCTACCTGCATTAATGATTTGATTGGAAAAATTTGCCATATAAATGGGGATTATTTCTAATCCTCACATTATTAGAATTCTTCGCAGCCAGGAATGATTCTGGAAGATAAAAAGAGAAGTTTTAAATGAGTTTTGAAATATTCTTCTGAAAACTAATATAATAGCATAACCCTGGGATTTTTTTAATAAAAACCCATCAATTCGAATTACTAGATATTAATGGCTTTGCTGTCTATGCTGAGCCTTGAGATGTTCTTACTTCGAGCCAAACTTTTCAAACATTAAGCAGGAAGGAAGGGAGTTGGTCCACAATGCACCATCATCAGGAGAGCGAGGCAGAGTCAGCTACCAGAGGTGATGATATGAATAATGACATTCCTGCTGCAGGAATTTAATTAGACTGAAAAAGAATTTGTAGTAAAGATGTCACAATAGCTCAAGACAAAATGAAAACCAGTCCAAAGACATTGAGGCCCTAATTAGTTTGGGAGGAGCAGATTAAAGATAAACCTGGAGAAATTGGTGGAGTGACTGGCTATTAGGGGCCAGGAGAACGTGGAGTGTCACGTTGGATTTTTCACTTTTCGATGCTTTTAGAGAAGACCAAGTGGAGGAAGAAAAAAAAAAAAAAAGATAAAAATACAGGAGCTGATTTCTTTCCTTTCTTGAAAGGATCAAACAATTTTGCTTTCAGTAATGCCAATGACAGTCACAAGCCTTGGTTGTTGACACTGATTTTTTTCGTGAACGTGCTGAAATAATGAGCTGGGTGACACCTTGGTTATATATGGAAAACAGCAGCTCTGTGTACACACAACATTCAATTTATGTGCGGTGCCGTTTGAAAAACGAGGGAGAAAGGTCTTTCTGATCAGCCACAATAAGTTATTTTCTCGGTGTTGGCTCGTTCTGTGCAAGACAAATGAAAGGAATAACAAAGCAGGATGTTCACAAAAGAGCCAGGACGGTTTTCAAGCTCCCTGTGATTGATCTGGATGTGCTCACACTGAGGGAGGAAGAAAAGGAATCTATGCAAAAACATTCTGCACTCACCACTGAACGGATTGCAAAGCTGGGGGACGCTGGGAGAGCTTTTCCAGCTTGGTATCGGGGTGTCTGGCTGCTTCCCACCCCCTCCCCTGGCAACAGCAAACTCCTGGTGACTTAGATAATCAGGGAATCCCAGACTGGTCTGGGTTGGAAGGACCTTAAAGCTCATCCCATTCCACCCCTGCCACGGGCAGGGACACCTTCCACCAGCCCAGGTTGCTCCAAGTTTATCCAACCTGCCCTGGGACACTTCCAATATACTGACCAAGCAAAAATAGAAGTCAAACACTTGGGTTACTCAAAAAACCTCATTTTTATGGTCTTACTAGAGGCAGAGGCCTGAAGGAGGAAGCAGGTTCAGCAGATCAAAACCCTGGGAAGCTGCCAGCTCTGACCAGGTTATCTCTCCGACGTCTCCCTGACCCTCTGAATCCTCAGTAATTCCCACAAATTCTCTCCCTGACTGAGGTGTCAAAGCAAGTCATGGCTTGAGGCCCATCCTCCACTGCCCAGTACTATTCATTTAAAAAAAAATGTTTTAAATATTCATTTAAAACAAAAAGTTTTAAAGGGGATAAAAATCCAGAGAAGACAATAATGCCCTGTCTGCCTGATTTGGAGGAAAGATCTCACCCCTGCATCCCACAGGCTGGGCTTAACAATCAGGTTTGATTTCACAGAATACATTTGCTTCTATTTTATCCCAAGTGGAACGGACTCAGCCAATTAGGGAAATTCAAAATTGGGTAGAAAATACATTTAGTGGAAAAAGAGAAAGAGCAGAGGCTGTTTTGAGTTGTGATTCAACTCCATTCCTGCTTTAAACAATTCCTGCACCAAACCCCACCTAAAACACGAGTATAGTGAGCAAGGAGAACAGAAGCTGTCCAAAATCAGCATCCAAAGGGGTTAATTTGCTGGGTTGCCACCTCAACCCTCATTTCCCCTCCAAAGAGACACCCACCAGCCGTGCCAGACCCTACCTGGGCACACCCTCGGTGCCTCGGCAGCACCAGCACCCCGTGGCTTGAATGGAAGCATCCTGCACTCTGGAACTGTTCCACAATTCCTGGCTGTGACCTTCCTCAAGGACAGGGACATTTCCCCCCTCTCTAGGGCAGTGCAAAATGTTGTTGTCAGCCTGTCAGTGCATATGGTGCTCCCCATGCCATCCCCGTGCCACATCCCTGCTGGCCCCGGGCTCTCAGGGCAGGTGCAGGAGCAGACTGTGCTGCACTGCTCATTCTGCTCCATTATTCACTCGCCACACTCCTCCCCCTGGCTCCACTCATGCTGTTTTCCTCTTGGCTGCATTGTTCAACCAGAGTATGAAAAGCATCCTTCAAAAAGTTACGTCTGCCAGGCTTTTCTTTTCACCTTCAGAATAGTTTTGGATTGGGAGGGATTTTTAAAAGCATCCAACCAACCCCCCAAAATAAGGCTTTCCACCTGGATTTAAACATTTCTCATGATGGAAAAGGAGTAAAGGACATTATGCACATCCCTATAATTCCATGCATCCCTCACACTGTGTCTCTCCCTGCTTGAGGAATCCCTCTCCCCAGCCTCTGGAGAGCTAGAGGCACAAAAAGGAAGGTGCCACTCCAGCCAGCTGCACAGCCCAGCCTCTGGAGGGGGAGATCAGCCTGTGCTGGCCCAGCCCTGGCTGCTCCCTCCCTGCCCTGACATCTCCACATCACTCACCCAACACCAAGAGCATCTCTGAAAGCCCAGCTCACTCAAGTCCCCTATTTTAATGTCAAGGTCCAAGTCAGAGCAGAGGTTTTGGAGTTTATTCTCTTTAACATCTTCTGTAAAATTAATTACTGGTCACTTGACAAAATAAATTGACCCTATAATGAGGTTTCTGAAAATGCAGTTGGTGTAATTTGTTAAATTACTCTCTGTACACAGTATCAAGTTCTTTCCTGCCTTACACCTCCCCTAATGCTCTACTCAGAGAGTGTGAGGCTGGAAGAATTTCACCTCTAATATATAAGTGGGATGCACTTATTTCCCTGGGGAACTGACCTGAGCCAGAGCATTGGCTATTTATAGCACATTTGAAAATAAATTGTGAGGGGAAAGGGTGGAAGGGCTGTTGGGAAAGGCTCTATTTGTTGATAAAACTGGAAAAAGAGGTAATATAGCTGTGAGTTCCCATCCAAAGTTACCTTCACAGTGTGCTATAACCTTTAAATTATTACTCAAACTGTGTAATTCAGAACTAAGGCAACTCCAACGATCCCAGAATGGTTTGGGCTGGAAAGGACCTTGAAGTCCATCCAGTGCCACCCCCTGCCCTGGGCAGGGACACCTTCCACCAGCACAGGGTGCTCCAACCTGGCCTTGGACACTCCCAGGGCTGGGGCAGCCACAGCTTCTCTGGGATCCTGTGCCAGGGCCTGCCCACCCTCCCAGGGGAGGATTCCTTCCCAAAATCCCATCTAAATCCACCCTCCTCCAACTTAAAGCCATTGCCCCTGTCCTGTCACTCCAGGCCCTTGTAAAATGCCAGGGGGGCTGGGATGGGACCAGAGACCTTCCCCAGCTGAGAGCTGGGAGACAGCAGGATGCTGATGGGAGCACACGGAGCATCTGTGACAACAGCCCTGGAGAATTCCCTGCTGGAAGGAAGGAGCTGGCTCAACTTCACACCAGCACCCAGCATGGCCAGCCAGGCGGGGAGGACCATCAGCAAACAACTCCCTGAAGTTATTTGGCAACACAGATGGGCCCTGAGTCATTTCTTGGCTCTGCCTTCAAACACAGTGTGATAGTCACAGCTACAGTCAGGTTTTGGAAGAGCCTGGCAAGGAGCAGACAGTGCTAAATGTGCCAAATGTCCTCTGACCTTCTCCTCTCCCTGTCCTGCTTTCCCACTGCTCAGCCCTGCCTGCTGCAGTTGCTGTCAGCCAACCCACTGCCACCACTGCAGCCCCAGGGACCACTCCAGTGATTGGCCTGGAGGGGTTTTATTCAGGAAAATCCAGGAGAGCTGAGGAAAGCTCAGTTTGAGCTGACTCACTGGCTCACCTTTCTGACTCGCAGCTGCACGTGGCCTGGAGCAGAGCAACCATCGCAAACTTCCATCACTCATTCCCAGGGACACGGACTTTGGAGCACTCCTCGTGAGCCCAGAGCATCACCTGCTCGTGGCACTGCTCTTCTCCCTGCCACGTTCCAGCTGGCAAGCCCAGGAGAAGATGGTCCCAGGCAACATTTGCCTGTAGAGAAGCTTCTCAGCATCGGTCGGTGAATCAACTGTGGGGGAAACAATTCAAGCAGAGAAGGGAAGAGAGGTTGTTTCAAAAGGAACTGCAGTTCTTTCACTCATGATTTTCTGGAGAGCTCTCAGCATTTGGCCCCTTTCACTCTCCTTGCTCACTTTTATCAGCAGAGAAAACCAGTCAGAATGGCACTTGAACAGAGAGCAGCTCAAACCCACCACACCAACCTCTGTGATGAAATACTGACAGAAAACTCTAAACAAGTTTAAAACCACTCCTTTTTTACATACAAATCTCTTCTTTTTTTCCAACTGTGGCCTGGTGGTACCAGGTCACTTTTCTAACTTTTCAAAATAGGCAAATATATCTTGTCAAAATTTTCAAAACAATATTTTCTTTCAGTTTGAATTTTTTAGAATTTTTTTCCCCCACTTGTCATTTTCAGCAGTACCTTCTGAAATTTTTTTCCATTATTCTCAACACATTATAACTTTTCAACCTTCTTCATCCTGTGGCAACAAGGAAAAGGACATAAAATAACCCATCTGAGGACACCCAGCCCAGGCTCCTGCCCTGCCCACAGGCTGGGGCTTCCCAACCTTGGTGGTGCAGATGTTTTGCTTCTGTTTTGGTGAGCTGTGAAGCTGCTGTGTGCCGGTGGTCAGAGAAACCTGCTGCAACCAGGTAAGAACCGTGGTGAAAGGACTCAAGGGGCATCCCAGGAGCATCACTAATTATTTGGTATCTAATGAATGACACAATTTTCCTTGTTGACCTCCTTGTCAAACTGTGCAGAGCTCAAAGGAATTAATAAAAAGCTGACATTCCCAAGGGTCTAAGATGTTTTGTCGACTTTGGGCCAAGGTGGTGCCCACGCTGACTCTGGCACGCTGTGAGCTCGGGGACACAGCCCAGAGCACAAAACGCTGCTCAGATGGACTTGGCAGGGTGATGTGAGCGAAATATCCCTGCCTGAAGCGTTGCCACCTTGCTGGGATGAGATCCAACCCTCATGTCAGGGATGACATCCAACCCCTCGTGTGGAGCCACACCAAGCAGGGACACGCTGACCCCCCGCCAGGAAGGGACAATCTGCCTCTGTGCAGGTGGCAAAGCCCACTGACAGCTCCAACCATCCCTGCTGCCGTCAGGGAAGTGTTTCAGACGGGGGTTTTCATGGTGGGAATCGCTCAGAGACTCGAGAGCCCTCCTGGGCTCTTGAGGGATAAATGAAACCCTGGGCAGAGTCTGAAGTGGTTCGAGTGAATAAAACCTGGGTGGGCACTGCAAGCACCCCACAGTCCCACCAAGGGTGGCCAAAGTGGAGGACACCTTCCCCAGAGAACACACTCACTGCTTCCCCTGAGCTCTCTCTTTCTCAATTTCACCTTTTATTGACAGATGCAAAGCAAGACTAATGAACTATTGATAACCCTGGCACAAAGGATTATTAGACGAAGCAGTTTCATTCGGGGGGCATTGATCTCTGTGTCACAAGCAGAGTACAAATGAAAACAGGAGTTAGGATGGACGAAGTTGAATGCTAAATAGGGGGTCATCTTAATTCCTAATTCCTGCCCTAAATGCACTTCTAGATACATTTACCTGTACATCTCTATATTCTACATAATTATAGATATACTTGCAGATTTTTTTGATAGCTCATGGTATTTGGAAAGAAACTTAAAGCAACTCAAATAACAAAACAAGGCTGATGTTTTGAGTGGCATGAACACAACGAAACATCACAGGGAATAGATGAATTTGAACCAGTGATTCCCAAATACAACAAAAAAAAGAGATGTCCAGGCACAGATGGAATCCACAAGTGAAACTGTGTGACAAGAAGGGGTTTGTCCTAACCCAGCTCAAGCAGAGTATGTGAAGTATGAAATTTGCTGGCCTGAGGGAGAGAGGCTGGGAGAGAAGGAGGGGTTTGACTGTCTCACCCCACAGACCTGCCCACCATCAGCAGAGCTGGAGCCCATCCAGGGCCAGCAGAGCTGCTGATGAGCATCTGTGAGGGAATCAGCCCTGATCCTGAGCACCAGGCACTCACAGCAGCCAAGTCTGAATTCTCCTCTGCCGTGGCATTCGGTGACATTTAATTTGAAGGCGACTGCTGAGAACCCAGGAGGGATTATGGAAACAGGAGTGAGATTTGTCCTCTTCACCTGGTGAATCCACGGGGACATTTCAAACTCTAAGACATGGAGACCCGACTTTGTGGGCTTTCCCCTGGCAAATAGGAGCCACTTTTCTGCCTCCAAAAGCTCTCTCCAGCTCTCCTGGTGAGTGATCAATCACCTCCTAAAGGCGCTGCCAGTGGCCTCTCCACCAGCACAATTAATCCCTGCAGATCACAAGCTGAGATAAAAACAATATGAAGGGCACCTACCCAAGTGCTCTGACAGTGCTAAGCCAAAAGCAATCCTCAGGATTTCCAGGAGAAGCCTGTTCCACTTGTGGTCTCAGTCTGGAAAAATAATAAAATAAAACTGCACTTTAATAAACTTTCAGAGGAAAAAAGGTTGGTTGTAGTTGGGTTTTTTTTTTAATAAAGCCACAACAACAGGGCACTCGCCCTTCCTTAGGCTCTGTTACACATGACACTCAAAACCCATCTCCAATACTCCAGGGATTAAATTATTTTCTGAAAGCCAACTCATTCCCATCATTATTACTGGTATAAAGCTGTGAGGGTTTTTTTGCTCCCCCTCTTTTTTTTTTTCTTCTTTTTTCTTCCCAATGCTAGAAATAGATTAAACTGACACCTCAGGATGCTGAGCTGCAGTTTCAGCTGAGCTCTGTGGTTCACAGAGATTTATCAAAAATGACAAGATTCAACATCCAGGAGATGTCTCAGAGTGCCCAGGAGCTCAAAGGAGATGCAGCAGTTACAAGAGTAACCAGAGAGAAATGAGAAAGTGTTAGCAAAAGAAACACGTGGTCCTTGAAAATCAAAGCTCTGACAGGAGTGGGGAGATGCTGTGCTGACCAGACCTGGCCATTAGCGGGCAAAAAATCACCCTCTGCCTCCTGCAAATGAACCAACAGGGAAAGCAGCCCTTCCTTCCACTCCAAGGGCTGCTATAAACTTCCTGGCAGGTACCTGTCAGGGCCTCTGAGCTGCAGAGCTGTTCCATTTGCAAACAGGGTGGAATTAGCTGGAAGTGATGAGTGCCTGTTTAGGATCAATTCTTCTGAGTTAAACCATCCCTGGAACAGCAAAACAGAACAGTCCATAAGTGCATTCTGCTTTTCACCCACGGGCATGTACAGCAAATTATGGTCTGTTTGAGAAAGGTTAGGTTGGAATATCTGGACAGTAAATGCTTATGAACCACAAAATTACCTTCTGGGTGTAATCAGCCTTTGTTTGGACAGCCCACCCTGTTTAAAGAAGCACTCCTGGCTGAGAATCACCCTGCACCCAGACTGCAGCATTGCCCCTAAAACTGGTGTGACACAGGGGATGGAGGCACTGATGGACACTGGATCCTACCTGAGCAGAAGCAGCAGCATCCTTGGAGTGTTTGGCACAGGACCAAGTCCTTCCTCAGAGACAAAATCCCGAAATAAAATCCCTGGGGCTGCTCCCAAGTCAATCAGAGCTCTGCAGGAAGGGGCTGGAGCTGGAGACAAGGGCACTGAGAGGAACCCCAGCAAGACATGAGCACACCCAGTTTATCCTCGTAAATAATGACTCTGAGGAACACCTCTAAGAGATACTTATTGCCAAGCAATAATTGCATAACAAAAAGAGATCTGAAAAAGGAACCTCCATGTTAAAAAAGTCCTGCACTCAGGTAGGATGTTGAAGGTTTCCTAATTCCTTTAGAGAGGCCAAAGGCAAATTTCTCCATGAAGAAACAATGCCCCAACCATCCTCCCCTCCCTCCCATGAGCCAGGGTCTACTCCTGTCGAGATCTGGAAACAGCCTGAAGGAATTAGGCTAATCCAGACAAGACTGAAATGGAAATAACTCCCACAAGACCTTTGGGAAAACTTAATCCAATCTTCTCTCGTGAAGCAGATATTATTCCCCTTTTACTTGCCTTCAGTGGTGATAAAGTGCAGACAGAGGAGATAAGGGACTCGCACACCTCACATTTCCCCGCTCGCAGTAAATACACTCCTCGCCTTCGCTTATCGTCCAGCCTGGTATGGATTTCCTCTTAGTAACCTCCTGAGTTACAATCAAATTAGGCTTTCAGGGCCATTGAATTGCAGGGCTTGCAATACCTTAATGGGTTGTGTTCTGGCTGCTCAGGAGGGACTTGTAATCCCTGTCCTCTCCCATATTTCAGGGGATGCTCAGGACGTGCCTGGTGCTGTGCGGGACAGCCAGGCCCTCCCTCAGCAGGGCAGGTGCCAGCAAACTGAGGCCACTGAGCTGCTCCTGGAAGAAAAATGTTACTAGTGGACGTTTCTTCTTTTACCTTGCAGTGGCAGTGCAGGGTTTGGATGGCCCAGTAACTCCCCAAACTCTTTCAGACGTGTCCGGTGTGATTTACCGGCTCACGGTCCGTACACCTGCTCTGCACAGCACTTGGAAATAAATGGAAATATTAATGGCCAGAAATGGTGCAGAGTGCCCCATTCCTCCTGCCACCCCTGACAGCACAGCTGTGAGATGAGCTTTTATCCTGCAATAAAGAAGTGGTTGCTTTGTTAGTTACGGGCTGTGCAGCGGAGGAAATGCGCTGTGTGGTCTGTAGCTGTGCCGGTGGAATCAATGGCTGAATTATTAAAACGTTTAGGCAAGTGAAATAGGAGAGAGGAGAATAAACACAGTCTGAAAGTCTCAGTTGTCAGCACTGATTGCTCTCCCCTGCCATTTGGACAGTCAGGATGGTGCCCAAGGTAAATGTGCTGAGCTGGCACGAGTCAGATCAGTGCACAGCCATCCTCCTCCTCTTCCTCATTTCCCTGCCAAGGACCCGACCTGGAAACACTGTACTCACCCAGGGTACTGCCCATCTCCCCTCCTGTGCTTGTTTGCAGCCAGAACGTCCCCCCACCTCGTCATGATCCTCTGGCCACGATTTCCAGTCACTTCCAGGTTGCTTCTTCAACTGGGCAGACTGGGGGAGAGGCACTTCCTTGGCTCTGGAAATCAAATGCTTTATCCTGACTTCAAATAACCTTCACAAGTAACTTTTCCTTCTTCCTCCTCCAATATGCATCTGCCGTCATGTAATTACATTGAGGAACAAAATAAATACTTCTAAAAGGTATTTCCTAATAAAATAACTTCTTCAACAAGGTATTTCCCAGTGCAGCTCAATGAATACATGAATAGGCAAGTGAGCAGTAGATTAAGGGGTTATTGACATAATTGAGTGAGAAATAAAACAAGGTATTGAGGGTTTGAGATTATACTTTGAAACAGTGGGTGAATTCTCTGCAGCAGGTTCCTTTTGGAGGGTGTACATGGCATCTCCAGAGAAAGATCAGAGAAGCTCCTGCATCTATAGGACATCAGGGCTATTTAAATTTCCTCCTCCCTTTATTCCATCCTGCTCTTTGTAAAGGGTTATTGTGTTTTCTCCACTCGTATTCCCAATCCCTTCTTTTAAGGTCCCTTCCAGCCCAACCCATCCTGTCGTTCTGTGACAAACCCTGAACTGGTTTTTGTTTTTTTTTTAACCACATTAACGTTTCTGATCACAAAACAAACTGCCACAGATGTGATCTACCTTAAAACAGACACGCTGCAATGAACAAGGGGAGAAAAGAATGGGTGAATATTAAAATAGGCATCATGAATATTCAGCTACATTTGCAAATTAAGAGACTTCAACTGTGTCCTTGTCCTTTGTGCTTTTTTCCACAAATATTGAAAGGGGAACTCTCCTGGGAGAGACGTTCATCAGCACAGCAAGTCTTGAAGAAGGAACCCACTCAAGCTACGGCAAATATTCACAACCTGAATATTTTGTGTATTCACAGGACAAAGATGATTCTGGGAACCTCCAATTAGGCAGCAGAAGCTTTTCCTATGGTCTCCTCAGAAAAGAACTGAAGAAACAGCCTTATTTGGATAAATTTTTCAGCACAGATTTCTGAACAAATGTGAGAAAAAGACAAACTTCACCCATGAATTATTCCCTTAGAATTGTGAGGGGGGGGAAATGCCACCTGGAGCCAAGCTGGGAGCAGCAGCTACAGTGACTGCCCAGTGTGCAACCAGCAGCTGAACAGCTCTGGTTGCCTGAAAGCTCTAAATTGGGGTCCCCCAGCCCAAGAATCTTCCTCATTAATTTCTAATAACCCAATTTTTTTCTCTCTGTGCACAGCCTGACCTGCTGTTGGGGTGTGCACAGAGACCCAGCCCTGCCACAGTGATGTCACCATGATCCAGCCTCCCACCTGTGACTGAGGGAGCCACATCCTTCATCCTAAAACCAGACAGAACCAACCCTTTTCCTTCCATAACCACCCTGTGACCACTGCAGAGGACGCTGTTCTGTCAGTGCCTCTGATGAGACACCTCCAAACACCACCAGAACCCGAAGCATCAGCAATATCCCATATTTGCCCCACCAGTTTAATCATCCCCATGGAAGGGCATGAAAACCTCTCCAAGCAGTTCCACCTGGGAACATGAAAAGCCATGAAAGGTCTTTGGGTGGGAGGTAACAACCCAAACAAGAACAATTTCTGCTTTGCTGGTTTGAAAGGGGAGCTTTAAATATCCCAGCCTGGCTCTGAATTTTATTTCACTTACAGAATTTTTCAGTTTCCAGAACGGCCCAACAAGGATAATTGGACCAGAAACAAACCTGCCAGTTCTAAATGCTCTCTGTCAGGCACGTGGACTAACACCTATTTTATGAATTCCCTGCTTTTCAAGGGTGATACAGTTGTATTGGAAGTCGTGTGTAGGTGGCTCATTTTTCCCTCCTCACATTCCCTTTGACAGTAGTTTGAAATAACATTCATCAAACAGTATAAAAAAAAGTCAAAAGAAATTAATTAAGCAACCTAGGAGGAAAAATAAGATGTCTTTCCAACGGTACTTGGATTATTCAGGTTTCTAGTGCTGCAGGTTGTAATTTCCTGGGAGGAAAAGGCAGAATAATGGTGTAAACCCTGCTCAGCCATGAAATGTCACATTTGGAGCATCACTGATGGGAAAGGAAGTTCTGACACACCCCCTGGAGTTCCTCCTCCTGCACCCCACTGCTGGCAGCTCCCACTGGTGACACAGCTCAGGGAATACAACATTCCAGCTGTCCTGCTCTGCCAGTGCCACAGAACCAAGGCATGGCCACCCCTCTGCCCTCCCTGCATCCAGCCACAACAACCAGAGCAAAACACCTGACACCCCCAGCAACCCTCCAGTTCTGAAGGAATCCTGAGATTTCTCACCAAATTAATTTCCATGGATCTAACCCAAATATCTATTTAAATAAAAAAAAAAATAAAATAATAATTAAAAAAAAAAAAGGTTATGAAAATGTGGATGCAAAGACCTTGGTATCTGTTCCTGCCTGCTGGCACACTGCCAGCTACTTTATTAAACACAATCCTCAGGTAATTCTAAACCTCATGTTCATATTATCAGCTCCTCCAGGTAATTCCCCAGGAAAGGCCGTGGATGTGGCAGCACTGGGGTCTGTGATTCCCAAGGAATCCCCTCGGTAGGACGGAGCCACCAGGAGGGATTAACTGGGACTTAAGGCCAACACATCCTAAACCTTTCCCATCAGATGCTGCTGTTACCTGAGCAGTGACTCGAGCGTCTCTTTGTCCTTCCATCCACCTGGTTTAAAGGCTTCTCCCCCTTCCAGCAGCAGCCACAACACAACCAGGCTCGGCAGCACAGCAGGACATCAACCTGCTCCACTCCAGGACCATGGATTCTCCTTGTCTTCCCACACTACCTTGGGCAGGTTTACTAAAGCTGGATTAGCAGCAGAGCAACCTCCCTTCTGCCCTTCAGGGGGGGTGGGTGCTGACTCAGCACGTTCCCAACCAGGATCGATCGGCTCTGATGCTCCATCTCCCTCCAAAGCACAATGGGAAATGCTCCTTCCAAGAGGCTCTGGAAGGCTTAGGCTGTAATTGCTTGTAAACCACTTAAGTAGTGAGTGATACAGGAATCCAGAGTGGTAATTGTAACAGAGGCTGGAGATTAATCTATTTTTGGCTTGTCAGCCGTGCTTATGGCCCCGGTTCAAGGCAGTCCCTGAAAACTGTAAAGTGTCCAAAAAGTGACAGGAAAAATGCTTTGATTAAAACTATTCCACAGGCAAATGCAACCTTCAGGACGCTCTCTGAAACACGTTGCTCTGGCCTGCAGGAGAGACACTTGAACTTTTTATGGTCAGAGCAGGAGGCAGAGACCTGGGAAAACCAGTTTTATGTCAGATAAAGGGTGGTTTAGTTTTGGATTCCCAAAGCAAAACTGTGCTGGGAGGTAAGGGGAGTGTGCCAAGCAGCTCTTGGTTGATCTCCCTGTCTCCCAGTGACAGGTAGCACCAGTTTGCTGTTGGGTACCAGGAGCATCCTCCTTCCCCACAGAGCTGCAGCTTTTCCAAACTTCCCACCAACTTCCACTTTCTGGAGCCTCAAGGCCAAGATTAGCCTTCATTAT